TATCTATACTAAATGTTGGGCGCAATTCAAGATGGGACAGCCTGATGAGTGCACTGGAGTACATGAATAACAAGCCGTACCTTCAGGAGACGCAGTCACTAATCTGGTCGTATATAAGGTAACTTCTCGCAATCAATATGGCTTGGTTTGCTCACTAGGGACGTAGGTCGAAGATGCAAGGGGATGAGGATGGTGATATGGACGCTGTGGAGGAGAACCAGGAGGAGGAAGAAGATGGGGAACGTGTGGGCGGTGCGGCTATCGACCTCGACCAGCTGAACGTCACCTTGCCAGCCGTGGCATCAGGCAGCAAGGCAAAGACTCCTGCGGCGTCCAAGACTGCAGCTGGATCATCGAAGGATGCAGCGAACGCAGAGAGTGGACCGTCACGTCCGTCGCGATCGAAGTCCGGCGCGAAGAAGGCCCAGGAGCAAACTTCCAGCAGCGAGCGTGAGGTCGATGAACTCGGCAATGAGTGGTAAGTCAGTCAGTGTCCAGTGGTTTCTTTGTATCTCACTGCGAGAGGTACATCACCAAGATGTCGTAGTTGTCCTGTCGCATCAAGGCCGTGAACGTCATCAACTTTGTCTGTTTCGCGTGGCAGGAGCAGTAGAATCGGCCCATTTCCAAGGCAAGTGTTTCTATGCCCATACCACCTCTATCTACACTTACTCATACGACAATCCTGCAGCTACTATATCTATCATCCTCTGTACTACTACACATCAGACGTGCGTGCCTGCTACGTATCCCACTCCCCCTCTACTACTATTTGCCTGTCTCAGCCGTGGTCGTCATCCCGGCGCCGTCTGACCTCGAGTCTATGCCTATCTGTTGATCGTGCTATACCAGTAGTTATGTGTCTGTATATGTTGTACAACAACCCGCACTGCTAATATTTATGATGTGATCTGGTACATGTGCATAAGTGGACATCAGCAGACTTAATTCTGTACATAACTGTACTTCAGCACGCCCACTGAAGTACATATTGTAGGTGAAATAAGGGCAACTAAAGACCAAAATGACAACACAATTAAGACTGAATAAGACACAAGATGTCTTTATTGCGTACATTAGTGCTCTTATGCATAATATCAAAGACACAATAAGACGGGGACTTGTCTTAAGTGCCATGTTTTGGTCTTATGTAGCATTTTATGTCTTTTGTGTCCTATACGTTCCTAAGATGTCTTGTAAATGACCTCTGATGAGACCTTATGTAGGCACGGTTTTTCCTGATGGATACTCGGCAATCAACGATTCACTTCGGTCCGACAATTTCCCTTGCACCTGGGGTACGTTCACAGCGATGTGTCTCTTGTGTAGTCGCCTCCCCCCCGGATCTCAAGCCGCGGTTCGAGATGTGGCAGAAGCATATCGTACGGTACCACTGGATCCGTCACAGTGGCCGGGTACAGTCGTACGGCTATCCGCAGACGACCAGTTCCTGGCAGACTCAAACGCTGCCTTCGGAGCCGCTCCAAATGCGGGGCTCTACGGAGGCGTCGCAGACGCGGGAGCAGACATCATGCGCTCAAGAGGTCTGGGCCCCATTGCGAAGTGGGTTGATGATCACACGTTCTTCAGAATTTTGCGACAATTCATCTGCAAATATAACCTGGCTCGTGAACAGTGGCGAAAACAGATCGAATTTCACGGTGGCGAGCATAGAGATCGAGGCAGATTATGGTATGGAGGCGACCGGTTGCAGGACGGGCGAGTGGATGAGTTCATCGAGGACATGCGCTTCCCTATCAAGGACCTATCTGCGTCTTCAGAGCGTCCGCCGGAAGACGCGCGGTACTCCTGCAACATGGCAGATATCGATGCCGTCTCGCAGGAACTGGGAATCCCTTGGCAAATCGAGAAGGACGTCCCCTTCTCTCACGAATTCCCCTTCACCGGCTTCCTATGGAATCTGGAAACCCAGGAAGTATCCCTCCCTCCGGCGAAAGCAGCGAAGTACCGCCTGGCTATATCCGAGTGGCGAGCCCCCGGACACTGCACGCACACGTTGGAGGAAGTCCAGAAGCTGTACGGCAAGCTTCTCCACGCCTCCTTGGTCATCCCCGCCGGGCGATGTTACCTCACTAACCTGGAGGCTATGCTGGGCATCTTTCACGACAACCCGTTCATGCCACGTACCCCTCCTCGAGGAACCCCCGCTGATCTGGACTGGTGGCTGGACACCCTCGCTCAACCGTCAATCGCGCGCCCCATCCCGGGTCCGTTCCCAATTGTCAGGCTCGACGCGTTCTCAGATGCGAGCTCAGGAACCGGCATCGCAATCGTCGTTGGCGTCCATTGGAGAGCATGGACCCTTCGCGCGGGGTGGAACAGAGACGGGAGAGACATCGGATGGGCTGAGGCGGTGGGTTTCGAGTTACTCGTCGGATGTCTGCTGGCCATTGAAGAACTCCCACGACGTATCCGACTCTTCGGAGACAACATGGGCGTCGTGGGCGGATGGAGGAAAGGATGCAGTAAGAATAGGCACGTTAACGACGTGTTCAAGCGAACCCACCGCTCCCTCGCGATACGACGGACAGAGGTCTTCCTCAGTTACGTCCCAAGCGGCCACAACCCAGCCGATGATCCCTCTCGGGGCCGATACCCTCCTGCAAACCTTCTCCTCCCACCGATCCCCATCCCCAACGATATCCAGCCTTTCCTTGACGACGCGGTCGTGGATGGACCTGGTCGACTCCATCACGCATCCCTCGCCCATCGCGCAAAACTTAGCAGGGAGCCCGCCCTCCCCGGTTCCACAGCAGGCCTCACCCAGCACGAGTACGAGACAAAACAGCATGATGCCGAGGACTTCCTCTGGCAGCACATCAACTGGGACGCCTAAACGGCAGAGGTGCATCCCACTGCCGGTACAGCCGCAGTCTCAGGCACGACCGCGTCCATACCCTCCTCACCTTCCCTTGGCATCATCCCCGCTGCGGCCCCATTGTCTCGCGCGCGACCGAGTTCGCCTCTGGCTCCCAGTAACCAGCCGACAGCCGGTCGATCGTAGCGGTTTCCCTGTGGCCGTATCCGCGGAGGATCTCGCGCGCGTCAAGTCCGTCTTCGAGAAGGCCTGGGCCGAGTCGACTCTCGAAGTCTATGGCTCAGGCTTATTGACGTTTCACGTGGTATGCGACGAGCGCAGCGTTCCGGAAGAGCAGCGTGCGCCGGTCAGCGACATACTGTTGCAGACTTTCGTGGCCGATCTAGCCGGCGCGTACAGTGCAGATACGATTCGTAACTACGTAATGGGTATCCGTGCTTGGCACATCCTGCACGGCATCCCGTGGACCCGAGACAAAGAGCAGCTAGACACTTTGCTGCGCGGAGCGACAAAGCTGGCCCCAGCGAACTCGAAGCGCAGCCCACGGCAACCTTATACACGTGAGCACCTATTGGCGCTGCGTGCACATCTAGACCCGAACGACATCAGGTTTTCGTGCAATTCCTCTGACAGGCCCTGTCAGGGGCTTCATAAGCGCTCAGAACGCTTCAGATCACATCAGAACGGTTCATTTGGCCAGTCCTCAAGGTGTCGAATTTTCGAAAATTGTTGTTGTCAGATAGAATTCTCAGACATCTTCAGAAAGTCTCAGAGTGGTCCAGAGTGGTCAGACAATGTGTCAGACTCTCAGAGGTACCAGACATCATATGTTTAGCACTCAGATATATTGCTCGTGAATGTGACAATTGACTATCAGCTACACTAGCACTTATATACACTCTAGTAGGCTCGCGCGGTACGCTACACAGTAAGCTCGTGTACATCATGGCGGCGGTTCTCCTCGTACTTGCCCTGGCACTTGCAGGCCATATTGCGTGGCGTGCTCCTGTCCATTAGGTGGGTTCGCCATGCTCGTCTCCGTCGTCCTCGATGCGGCGGGCTCATGGAGCTAGCGGCGGGCGCATCGAAGTACTAGGACACACTCTCGGTGGCATCATCCTTTCTCGGACTGGGGTGTGGCGCGTTCGCCCTCAACGGGCCTCTACGCACCGGGATGGGGCCTACCGGGTTGATGCTCAGTCAGCTCTTGTGCGCCGTACCAGTGCACAGCGGGTACTTGGTGGGCTTGTGGTCATCGTGTGATCCTCCTCGGTGGACTAGGCCGTGCTGTGCTTGGGTTTGACTCATCGGCGTGCAGCAACCCCATACCGGCTGTGCCCGTGCGTGCTGTGTTGAAGCTTAACTCCTACAAGTCTTGTGTTAGCGGATTGGCACGCGCACGCGCTGGGATCGCTCGTACTCACTAGGCGTAGGTGCACCACGGTTGTCTCTCGTGTTCATCACTGTGTCTGCACTCGTGCTGAACCCGCTCGCCTGGTGACCACCCACTCGCTGTCCATCAAGCTTCTCGCAGGTGTCTTCTCCCTCGGTGCCGGTGACCCATCCAGGACCTCGTGTCGCCCGCAGCGCCCATCCCCTACGATCTTCCCTTCGAGGTCCTCGTCTCCCACGTCTGCGCTATCCGGGTTTTGCTCGGCGCGTGCAAGTCGTCCGTTGTGTGTCGCGGAGCTAGGTCTGACGCGACTAGAAACAGAACTGGGAACAGAAACACTTGACCTCAAGGTGTTGGACTGAGGTCAACAACAGTCTAACAGCGTCGAACGCAATGCTAGCAACTCCAAGTTAGTTACATTGCACTCTACTTAGTACAATGTGAAGTGCTTACCTAGCAACTCCAAGAGGACGAGCTGGAGTGCTAGGCAGCGTACAGGACCCTATATATACTGGCTAGGTTGAGGGCAGGTCTACCTACGCTGGATCCGAGAACTGAGGTCATGTGTACGTATGAGTCAGAACGAGTCAGAACGAGTCAGGTGGCTAGGCGCTGCCGCAGGGCACATGATAATTTACATAAGCAAGGCCACATGATGAACAAGTCACAAGACAAACCCTAGCACGTGATGTGTCACGTGGCTAGTCAGAAAGCCGTTCCAGGCGAAGTCTACCGTACAGCGTATTGTACAAGTCCATAGGAAATGAGCAAAAATAGGATAAAACAAAGTAAAAATACGGGGCCTCCGTGTCATACCATGACATTACCCCCCTCCTAAGACTCGTCGTCCCGACGAATTTATCCCAACACGTCGCCCCGTCTCCCATTCCAGGTCTGTGGGCACGACGTCCGTCATATTCTCCGGAGATCGCCACACGATTCCGTCGAAAAGAGCAGCGTTTATCTTGCGAGGTGCATTGGGGTGCTTCCGATGGAACTCCGCTACTTCCTTCTGGGCGTGTTCGAGATTCTTGGCGGGTTCCCAGCTGTTGTCTCCCGCACCGTAGCCCTTCCATTGGACTAGGTACTGAAGCTGGCATCTGAAGAACCGGGAATCCAAGATGGTCTCGACTTCGTACTCTTCCTCACCATCGATTACTACTGGTTCGGGTGGTTGAGGAAGGAGTCCGTTGACGTCATTACCCTTGTAGGGAGATAGTCTATCCACGTGGAATACGGGATGCACCTTG